AATTTCGATGCTCCTCTTGACAGCCCTTTTTGCCCTCTCCGATGGACTAGGACGCCCCGGATGCTGCTCAGTTGTTTCCTGAACTGCACGATGATTCTGTTGACTGTCGAAAGCGGGATTCCCAAATTCTGCAAAATTTGCTGCTGACTTATTCCACCATCTGCTTGACCAACTATCCTTCCTGACAATTCGAGAGATCCTTGAGTTCTAGGCATGTTGTAGCACAAGATAATTTTCATTTATATAGTGCTCTATAAACACAAATTAGTTAGCATAAATCAGTTAAATGATGAAAAATTAGGTATCTATTTACTTGTGACCACTTAGTGTAGACTTCCAAGACCACTTAGCAGTCCAAATGCACAAAAAGTCTATTAGAGCTGCATCAGAGAATTTTACTGGTAAGTTGTCAAATAAGATTGTTGTAATTTAGTTACTTCATTCACCTTTCTCAAGAAAATAGTTATTGATTTTCAGGTATGGCTAATTTTAACTTGTAAGTCTTCATCAACTTCAAATCCTTGTACATTATATTGTTTATATAATAGTGGTGCTAGGAGATGCATTTAGCTTCATTTAAAAGACATTTTTTGAGTTGGAGGATTCTCTTTCATAACAATATTCTGTAATTTGCATTATGGCTGTGAGATGGAAAATTAGCCTATGCTCTATAAATTTGTTTTTTGAAAAAAGTGATACAGGCATGTTGAGACTGGTTTTAATATTAAATGACTTACTATGTTATTGGGTGATGGTACTCTCTCCCACTTAATCCTAATTTTATGGAAAACACAACAACTAAGGAATAATATCAAAAATAATAATATAAGAAAACTACTAGTGTAAAATATTCAAATCCATTTCTGTCTTTGAAAGAGTCTGACATCATCTGATAAATTTTGCCAGTTTCTTTATCAGCTGTGATGCATTAAAACTAATTTCATAATAACCATACATTCAAATATAGACATTTCTGTACACTAATTAACAGTAATAAACCTGGTGCTTGAAACACTAGATAAATCACACAATCAATTTATCACTATAGTACAATCCTGCAATACTGTCATGTACCTCGCCTGCAAAATATATTTTGCGATCCAAGTCTTTTGCTAAAGTATCATAATCTTCGCCCGTCCCACCTGTTGGCACAAAACTGTAGGCCATACCAGCATATTTGTCTTGTTTCCAGCGGGTAACAAACCAAGATGTTGGATCAGGAACAACTAGATCCTATGGTAGATTAAATTAGAAGTTTCAATTGATTTAAACAATTTAAAAAAAAAAGATAAAGTAACTGACTTCAAAATATGCATTAATCCTTTTAGCATTTCTAATAATAATAAACTTGTAAGAAAACATTTTCATATAGACACACACACAACTATAGCATAAACATTTATTTATTGAAAATTTACTACCTAATCAATTGTAAGATATTGATGATTTATTTAAACTATTATTAAAACGAATATGAAAATATTTGTTAGATAATCAGCAGAAACTAGTAAGACCAATGACAAAATGTACAAAAACACAGACCAAGTAGTAAACACCAAATGAAAAATTAAATTTTTTTTATTAAGCTTTATAACAACATATTTTGTACAATAAAACAGTATTGGGAGTTCAATTAGGAATGCTAGTAGTAAATCATGTGTAAAAACATTTCTTACCTTAAAGTAGATAATTTTATTCAAAATTTTAAGCCTATCAGTAGAAATGTATAGAAAATCATTTACTAAGTAATCAAAGGTAAGATTTTTGAGTTGATGCATATTTTTCTTTTGTACATGTATTATATGGTTTTTGTAACATTGTACAAGCCTTCTTGTATTTATTTATTTCACAGGTAAAATAACTTATTTGCTACTGTAACACATTAATTTAATTTATATAGTTCTAGAAAAAATAAAAAATGTACATGTAAAAAATAAATGCTATTGTTATTTGTATGCATGTTTCACCTGAACAACACCTAATGCAACATGTGGGCTAAAATGGCTAAGTCATAAACCTTATAGTTTCAGGATTTGCTGTCCCTGATTTTAAAGTACTAATCAGATTGAAGGTGGCCAGTGAGCAACATTTGTTGCCATAAGGAATTTGTTTTGCTTTGTATCGAATAATGGGTTTCACTGACACTCTAAAAACTCACCCACAATCGAAAATGTGGAGTGTGTTCATTGGCATCACGTTTAGAACCGTGGAATCTTCTATACTTAGCTTGACATGCTAACCACTAAGTTATGCCCAGTTGTAAATTCTATTGAAGTAACCAATTATATGTAGACTGCATACAGTACTCATTATAAAGATGGAAATGCTAACATAATTGTTCAATATTTCAGTCTTTACAGCAATAACTGTAAAACAATACATGTAAAAGAATTACTATTATTAAAGTACACACTTTAAAATTAATTCTAGAACTGATAAATTATCAAAAACTACTATTAGTCACACTTTTCTTTTTAATATAGTTTATGTTTTGTTGACAAGAATGATTTACTTCATAAAAATGAAGTGGAAACTCTTACCAACACTTAAATCTGTACTGTAGTGACAAATAAATATCTTCCATAATACATAGTACATTTTCTTTCTTTAACCAAAAAACGTTTTGGCATAAATTTGTTTTACATTTTTCACGGCATTTGAGATTCATTATTTCAAAACTACACAAAAATAAAGATAAAAAGGATCAAATTTATGATGATACACATAGTGATAAACCTTCCTCTAAAAGAAATACAAACAATTCTTATGGTACTGAAAATTTTGGTATGAGTAAATCTACAAAATAGGCACTATTGTTTGCTATGGAATTCCATTTCAGTAGAATTATGGTAGTGAGATTATGTTTTAGCATTCTGCCACATGCTTTTTAGCAAGACAGAGCATTCTCGTGAAAGTTACCTTTGAAGTGTTTAACATATAACCTTACCAGCAGCGTCCTATATAGACAAGTTCGACCTGTTACAGATAAAACCAATACAGAACATAATCAACTTGCTACCTATAAATTCCATGAAATAATGAAGCCTATTTCTATAATACCTGGTCAGAAAACATCCCTCGAAGAGCAGACATGCACATGTCAACAATTTCCTTGTCTGGTTTATTCTCAATCATCAATAAAGCGTCTCCACTCACGTAGGTCATTAAAATGAAACACTTATGGGGCTGGAAATATGAATGCCAGATTAAATAATAACAATTACACAACTTTTATACATATGTGGTAAATAAATCTGATCAAGTTTACACATGAAATGGAAGATTGATTTCAAATTAATAAGTATGTAATTAATATAACAAGGTGGCTAAAACAGCAATTAATTACGGAGATAAATATGTTTACTTAAATCTACAAAGCATCCGTATCATACATCTTCCACTCTGTGGGGATTATTAACACACAGACACTAAATTAGATCAGAAAATCTGGCTTTATATTAATAAAAAAATTAAATGTTCCACAGGTTAAATAGAATTAACTTCTTAATTTGTTTTACATTAAACTTCAGTAAAACATATTTTGTAACACACTAACACAAGTAAACATAAATTTACTCAATATGTATTTTTACTATGATATTAAAACAACATTCTCTATTGACAAGTTATGTATCCCCATAAATATAACATGAACACAAAAAAAACCAAACCTCCATGCTAGATTTTGGTGATAAGTCATAAAAGACACTGAAAAGTCCTCGTTTTTGGGGTGAAGGAGGTACGTGCCCAAAAAGGTCATACTCTTTAACCTTGAGGGCCCAGAAACGATAAGGAAACTGCAGCACTATCTAGACACAAAAACAAATGTTTTAAAAAAACACACTCAACAATGATATTACAAATGAAATCAAGAAAAATAAGGGCATAAAATGTGGTAATCTAACTTAAAATAGTTTACTGTTATGGTTTTAAAAGCTAAAATATTAGGTCTAAAACAATTCTTATACTTTCTGAAATCAATTGAACTCTAAAAAAGGATCCACCTTTCCAAAACGTTTGAAATTTTATATGTTTACATATTTTATGTTAAGTTCATTACTATTCACTGAACTTTTGTTTTAGGGAATTTTAATTGGAGTTGGTTATACCTTTTCAACTGTGCCAGCTCCAAGACGATGTACTGCCTTAAGTTTTTCCTCTGGCAACTGAGGGCAAAAAGTTACTTCTTCTTTTTGTAATACAGCCAAAGGTAATGTGACAATTACCTACAGAAAATAAAATACCATCTTTACCAAATCTGATGAAATTTCCTTTAAAATAAATCTCTATCCTAAACACAGAAAATACCATCTAGATTATTACTGATTTTAGTTAAAACTGGTGTGAATAACTGCTATGGTCCACTTAAGTTCCCTTTGAACCAAATAAAATTTGGTCATATTTAATATGTCTTATTATAATTTCATCAATGATGGCTTAATCTTACAGTAGTAATATCACACCATAGTCAAAGAACTGAAAAAACTAATTACTGTCCTGTGAACTTTAATACTTCAAGTTTAAAACTAAAACACTGTCTCTGACTAAACTATAACTTTAGACATGATTGTAAACACACATTACTGACAGTAATCTCATATTTAGAAGATAGTGCAAAGAAACTTAAACATGCATTGTGTATCTGTTTGTCTCAGATTGAATCTTGATCTAAAAATCAACATTATGTGGTAAAAAAAAGTGAGGAGAATAAAAGTTATGTCTATCAAAATATGACTTTGTACGATTGCTTTGTATTTTATGATTACCTTATTATAAGTTTAAATATGTGGCTTTTCATGTTGATATCTATACTAAACTATTAAGACTTTAACAGCAATAAGGTCATTATGGATACATATGTTTACGTTGCATGGTTGCTGAGTAAAATACATACATCTTTTATGTGCAAATAACCTTTTTAATTTGAACTCGGGTCACATGTTGGAAACACCTTATTCTACCTTGAAATGTCAAGTTATGACCTGACTGGAGCTTTTAACACTTAAAAGTACTTACGCCTCATTAACTCTTTCATCATGGGCTCAGTTCCTGTGACCGACCTCGTAACCATTTTGTGCTTGTTATAGTTTTTATGCTATAACTTTTATATTAGTAAGCGAATGTTAACAAAATTTGGCAGATTACCAGTAAACATTACAATGCTTTCATACACAAAATATCAATTTTTTTTTATTAAGTCTTAAGGTTTGTAAAGCAATGTTTTTCTCATCTTTTTTTTTTCTTTTCGCATGTTGCCTATCTATCATGCAAAGTAATATTCATTTTAAGA